TATTATTATTATTATTACTTCATTTATATATATATATATATATATATATATTAAGGTTGATGATTATAGAACAAGACTTTCTCTGTTGCAATACTTGTAAATTATTTTTAACAAACACAAGTGTATAAGAAAATGAAAATGTTGAAATGTTGAGTTAATTGTTTAATAAAATCTGGAAAAAATGCATGTTTTACATGACTGTGTATATAAAAATTGCATTGTTTTATTTTTAAGTTTCTTCTATTTCAGTTTGTTTAAAGACCAATGAGTACACAGAAAAGATGAGATCTGGAAGAATCATCCAAATTTCCTGATGAAGATGAAGATGAGAGAACATTTTATCGGGAAATACATTTTGGTAATAAGTATTTTGATTGTATTGCATTACATTTTTTCAATAAAATCATTCTTTTTTTTAGAGAAAAATTAATTTTAATCAATTTAATGAATATAGATTTTTATTAACTTGTAAATCGAGTAACTTTTTGTACAAAAATATTTTTGTATAAATTTATCAAATTACTTTAAATACATTCAAAATAATTTCTATAATATTTTAAAACTTTTCTAAATACATTATTAATTGCCACTCTCTTATTAATCTCCACTGTACATTTTCATGCTGAAGAGCCTTTTTGAGTTAAGAACATATCGATTACATATAATTTCTTATGAAGTTAAGGTTTCATTGGGAACTAACTCCGTTTCAATTTCTTAAAAATATTCATTCTCACAGAAAACTTTTTATACGACATTTCTTAAAAACACCAAATCAAAGAACAATAAATGACATGGTTTAAAATACACATACTCTAAAAATGAGTTAAAATAGACCATTACTAATAAAATAGTAGTAAGGATATAAATGGTTGTTTAATACCAATACATATGAAAACAGAAATCATTGCGAGAAAATAAACAAAAATGCTTGGAGAAAACATCTTGTACTACGTAAGTATTCTTAATATAGGAACATTCTTTAGATAGTACATCGAAGAGGCATTTCATTATGACCACCCTCCATCTATAACAATGGGCTCGCCCAGGTTTTCGTGGTTTCTCGCCCAGGAATAATGTTTTCGCACATTAGGACCCATAATCCTCATAGAACAATCCCTGACGTCTGTAAGCTACTTGAACATAGTTGCAGACCAGGTTCACCCATTCATGGCAACAGTTTTTCCTTCGGGGGATGGTGTTTAAAAACAGGATAATGCACCGTGCCATAAGGGTTGAATCGTCAAGGGACATTCCAGTGACTTTCAAGTCATGTCTTGGCCCCCGAATTCACCTGACCTAAATCCAGTAGAGCATTTGTGGTCCTACTTGGAAAACCAAATTCGTGCTGCCACGATACCCCTTCGAAATGTGAGGGAATTGCAGGACCAGCTGGTGAGCGCTTGGTAGCAGATACCTCAGACTACCTATCAGCACCTTGTGGAATCAATGCCACGGCGGGTGCTAGCAGTTTTGAGGGCTAAAGGTGGTCCTGCATGCTATTACCAGGGTGGTCATAATGTAATGGCTCTTCGGGGTATATAGCATGTTATGTTAGTATATAGCAACATATTCAGTATATAGCAACATATTCAGTATATAGCATGTCTTAATTACGCTTTATTCGTAAGTCAGGCTTTGCTAAACGGGAAAAAAATTAGAGATAAAATATCACGGAAAAGCGATGACTCAATCAAGTACTTTAAACTACACAGAGAAAAACATTTTGATAAAACTATCTTACTCCATGATAATGACATTGGTAAAAAATAACTAAACTTCTGGTAATAAAAAAACTATACGGTATTTAAACCACTCATTTGCTAACTTTTTCCGTTCTTAGGGTAAAGGTTTACCAGAAATCCTGGTTTTCGAAATTATAGTTCGTATTACTTGTACACTTTGTAAAAAATACAAAACAGGAAAGTAAATTTAACTGAATAAATGGTTTTTATATCATGATAAAATTATAAAAATTTATCGCACTTACCAAAATATATCATATATTATAAAACCTTACTTAGCTGTTGATTTTACTAAAATCATTACCAAAGTACTTCGGTAAAAATTACAGAGCTTTTTGGTGTTCCAAAAAAGCCAGAAACACGGTAAATTTTTCCATATTTTGGTAATTTTTTCTATATTTTTTTTTTCTAGTTCTCTAATATTTGTTATTGAAACTGTTCATCTTGTGATATTATTTGTTGATTCTCGACAAATAACAAAATAAAAGCTAAAAATACCAAGTTTCGTCTGGTTTGGTATTTCAAAATATATAAAAACCACTTTCCAAACTTAACACACTTCTCCAACTTAACAAAATGCTAAAAATGTTCTAATAAATCACGATATGAATCTTTTTATTAAAATAACAATACAAGCACATTGAGTTATACTTTTTATTGGATATCATATTTTATTTATGTCCATTTAGTTCACGCACTAATGAAGTACCCAGCGTTGCTCCCAATCCGATTCCTAGTCCCAAACTTATTATTTTAGGTCTGAAATTCACACCACTTTGTGTTTTGAATAATAGTTTGATAATATTTGGTAGTTGTGAGTTGCTTGTAGAGTTGATAGGTCTTCTTATATTTGACTGCTCTATGCTGTCAACACGTTGAAATTCAGGTAAAACATTTCTGCTTAAAACAGGCATGTTGTTGTAAAAATTGTACTTTGGACTAGATCTTGGTAACCAGCTCCTTATTGGTGAATTAGTGTTCCCAAATGGTGCCTGACGATTATGAAATAGTTTGATAGGAGCGCCACCTGGAAAAAAATAAGTTTAGTTGTACAAGTACGTTAACGAGACTAAAACTAAAAATTTATTTTTTGTAGAAAAATTAATAAAATTTCTATTGATGGTTGACTGAGTGTATACAATAAAATGATTCTAGGACAATAATGGGATCTTGAAAAGTTAGAGGGCATCACTCCACTTGACTCCAACACATTTGATATTCTAAGAAGATTTATTATTAAAATTTCATTTAAATTTGCCCCTAAGTTTACTATTTATAATTTTTTTTCTGCACTTTATAAATTCTGAAAGGTGGTGAAACATACATTGATTTATAGAAAATAATATCAAGGTTAAATGTGAGGGTTATAACATTTTTAGTGTTATCTTCGTTTTTCATGTTTTCAGATAAAGTTTAAAGTTTTACAAATTAAACGGTAAATAGTATAAATCATAATCTAAACAGTACAAATACACTAAGAAAAAAAGTATGGTAAAAATGACCAGAATATGGTAAAATGTACTGTGTTTCTGGCTTTATGTGAACACCAATATGCTGAGTAATTGGTACCAAAGCGCTTTGTTAATTATCATGGTAAAATTAATTATAACATGATTTTAAAATATGTGATAAAATAAATTAAATGTAGTAAAGTCATGTAATTTTATCATGCTAAGTTAGAGCATGGAAAAAAGTATTTATTCGAGTAAATTTAATTTTCAGCTTTATAATTTTTACTAAATGTGTGTAAATAAGAATTATAATTTTGAAAACCGAAATTTCCGGTTTACTATTATCATATGAACGAAAGAATTAGCAAATGAATAAGATAAATACCAAATGAATGGTTTAAACACAGTATACTTTGGTTTTATTAATTAGAATTATGATTTTTTTTTAACCAGAAGTGTCATTACCATACAGTAATTTTACTAGAATATTTTCTTCGTGTACGACATGGGAAGCGAGTTTTTTAAGTTTTGATAAATAAATCGGAAGATCTATCGGAACATAAATAAATTGATTTTAGCAAAAATGAATCAGAAATAGACCCACACTCTCATTAGAAATTTCAACAGCTGGCGTCACCTGGTTACATGGTCTACCATCCAAAATTTGAATTTTACCGAAAATTTATTATGAATAAATAAAGCTAACTTAAAGATCGTGGAATAAATCCCCTGTATCTGTTTAAACGCATTTGAAGTTTTAAATTTCTTAAATTATACTTTCATACTCTGTTTTAAACGATTTTAAAGCTTCCTTTCTTTAATTTTCAAGACTAAAAACACTGAATTCCTTAAGGAAATCAATCAATTAAAAGTAATTTTTTATGGAATAAAGGCATTTATATGCGAATTTTATATTCGAATGTTATGGGTCCGCTCATTTTATATGCGAATTGGGTCTCAATCGACATGGTTGAAATTATGATTTGTTGTATTTGAAATCCTCCTGATCAGAAACTCTCGTGGGCTTTATTAATATGTTAAAAGATGACCAAATTTTTAGATACAAGGTTTTGAAAGTTGACGTTTTGTCTGAGTTCAATCCACAGAAATGTCTCTTAAAAATCTGTGTGACATAAAAGTTTAACACTCTGTGTCTCAAAAGTGGCTTATTTTTGAACATAGGGCCCACGAGAACTTTTGATCAGGAAGATTTCAGCTACAACATACATAACTCGACTGTTACCACATTCCTATATAAAATGCGAGGGGTTCTTTGTGAAATTTATGTAAATTAGGAGTTACAGAAAATTTAGTTTAAATTTTTAAAAGAAAATCACATTTTTTAATGATATCAAGTGATTGTTTTATTTTATCTCTGGCGTTGGTCGTGTTGGATTTGCAATTAACGAAGCTCATATTCAAGAAATCTTAATTAGTATTAATGATATTCATTAGAAATAACTATTTATTTAATTAAAATTGTTTTTATGTTGATAATATTTCTGCATCATCCTTTAATATTTTTATTGTTTCCATATTTTTTTTTACTATAATGAATACCAAATACCGTTTTAAGTTCAAACTACAAAAGTAACACATTTTCTTAAAAATGAAATATATTTTTCTAATTTTTTTATTTGAAATATATTTTTTTTACCAACTTAAATTTTTTCGATTAAAAATATTTTTATAATGTTACTAAATAAAAAATACAATCACAGTTTTAGTAATAGTGCAACAAATTTATACAAACACATATTCGATTAATATGCTTGATTTTAAACCTATAAAAATATTTTTTTGCTAAGTACTAATAAAAAAATATTAATCTATAAATTGGCTTTTTGATTTAGAATTGGATGAAATCAACCATCAAATTAAATTAATTTTAAACTGCTTAACGCTAGGAATTCTTTTATGAATCAATACCACAAATTCAACTTTTACCACGTATTTAAATAATTTAAGAAACAGGAAAAATATATAAAAGCCAACTAAATTTCTAAAGGCAAAATAAATATTTTCAAAAGCAGAAATTTTCTAAAAATGTTTTTTGGGTGACATTACAAATTTGTGGACCACACAATGGATAAGACAATATTTTTACTAATTTGGCTCCATTGTTTTTGACTTGGTGTCAAAATAATGTTTTTAAAAATTGTCAAAATTATAAAAATTTACCGTTCATAAATATATCATATACCTGAATGGGATAAAAAAATTACAGAAATCTCATAAGATATTAGTAACGTACCAGATGAACCTATGGTTTCCCTATCGTGTGTCATACTGTTCCTTCTATAGAACGCCACTGGAGGTGGATTTGCATATGGTAAAAAATACCGCGGGTCAAAATATTGACATTGTATTTGGCAAAGAAGGCTTAAACACTCCAGTACAAGTAGTGCAAACTAAAATTGAATGAAAATTAATACATATTCAAAATAAATTGCAAAATAAATAACACTATGAATTACAGAATATGAATTACAAAGTAAATAACAAAGTTTGTTTCGGTGATACATGGTCATTTTATTAATCACATAATTTGCTGTTTTATGTATCACATAGTTCCCTGGTTTATAATTTATTTTCACTGTAATATTATTTATAATTTAAGATTTTTTTCATTAAAAATAAAAATAAAAAGAATAAAAATAAATTAAATGAAATGAAAAATAGAGTAAATATAACACCAATAAAATAGTACTAGGGCGTAGCTCAAAGATATTATATGTTTCACTTAAAAAAATTTTTATTTAAATAAAATATGACAACTGAGAACAGTATAATTTCGATAAATTTTTCTATCACTGATATAAATTGTGTCAAATATTTATAAAAAGCATGCAGTTTTCAAAAATACCTTCAAAACTCGTTACAAATAAGTTAAACAAATTTCTAAACTGAAATTTATGCATAATTCGTGACATTTTATTAATAACCATATTATTGAAGCTATAAATATTATAAAATCAATTTAAAAAATTTGAGCATTAAAAAGTTTATTTTAATTAGTTTGTATGAACTATTTTCATACGTAGGCTTTTTTCTGAACTTCAAAAAGTAGTAATAAACATTTTAAGAACTTCAAGCAATTTAATCGTACTAATTAACACTTCAATCATGCTATGGATTTTTAACAACAAATAAAAACATTAAAATTGCAGGAATGAATAAACTAGTTGTGAAATAAAATAACTAAAAGATTAAAAGCTGTTCTGTAGGTAATAAATAATAGTTCTACTTACGAATTTCATAGTTGTCTGATTCTTCTACAAAGTTCTCTCTGTTTTAATCAATATCGAATAAAATGGACTATTGTTAGTTTCAGACTGAATAAAATTCCATTAGCTTTTAAATTTTCTGAATTCCATCTTATTAGTATTCACTGATTCTGCAATGCAATCATCTAATATATTTGGACATTTGTCTGTAATTTTTTTAACCAAATAGAATTAACATTTAATCAAATACAATGTAATTTAAATTTTTCATGATATTTAAAAATATGCATGATTAATAATATCTCTAAATAATAAGAAGCTTAAAATAATATTTAAACATAAGTAGAAATAATGGGGAAAAAATGCTTACTTAAAATGTCTTTAAATTTTCTGCATTCCATCTTCTTAGTATTCACTGATTCTACAATAAAATCAGCTAATAGCTTATATACTTGAACATTTGTCAGTATTTTTTTTAACCAAATAGAATTAGAATTTAATCAAATTACAATAAAATTTAAATTTTTCGTGATATTTAAAAATATGTATGATTAATAATATCTCTAAATATTAAGAAGCTTAAAATAATATTTAAACATAAGCAGAAATAATAGAAAAAATTCTTACTTAAAATGTCTTTAAATTTTCTGCATTCCGTCTTCTTATTAGTATTCACTGGTTCTGCAATGCAAATAGCTTATATACTTGAGCATTTGTCTGTATTTTTTTTAACCAAATAGAATTAAAATTTAATCAAATACAATAAAATTTAAATTTTTAGTGATATTTAAAAATATGTATTATTAGTAATACCTCTAAATAATAAGAAGCTTAAAATAGTATTTAAACATAAGTGGAAATAATGAGAAAAAATGCTTACTTAAATGTCTTTATATTTGAATAATATTTAGATGAGTTAATGAGAATTATAAGCTCTTTATTTTAGTTAATTCTCAAGATTTTCTTCCTCTTTTTATAATTATTAATTCCTAACCATTATATTATTGCACCAAATACAATATATTTTACTTATTTTTTAAGAAAATGTATCATTTACTGTATCTCTAAAGAATTAAATGTTATTTTAAGCTTTTTAACATAGGCTGAAATAAGGATAAAAATTGCTACTAAAATATTTAAAACATGAACCATATTTAATTACTATATTTTTGATTATGAACGATATTTGATTTGATATGACATGAACGATATTATTTAAGAGATTTTCAAGATTTTTTGCTTTTGTTAATGTTGTAGACATTCTTCATTTTTTATTATTGACCTACTATCATTATTTTATACAATATAATTATAAATTTTTCGTGATCTTTAAAATTATTCATCATTTATTATGTCTCCAAGGAATAAAAAGCTTCAAATAACATTTAAACACAGTCAAAAATACTAAAAAATAACTACTAAAATATTCTGAAAAAAATGGACGATATTTGATCAATATTAATGAGATTTGCAAGATTTTTTGCTCTTGTTAATATTCTAGATATTCCTCTTTTCCTATTATTAACTTGCTATCATTATTTTATACAATTTAATTATAAATTTCTCGTGATCTTTAAAACTATTCATCATTAATTATGTCTCCGAAGAGTAAAAAGTTTCAAATAACATATAAACTCAAGCAGAAATAATAAAAAAAATTGTGACTTAAATGTCCTAGAATACGAACAATATTGGAATAATATTTAGATTTTACGCTTTTGCAAATATTCTGAATATTCTTCTTTTTTTTTGTTGTTAATAATTTATTATCATTATTTTATAACACTAAATACAATATAATTATAAATTTTTCGTGATCTTTAAAAATATCCATAAATTATTATGTAAAGATATTAATGTGTATGTATTATTATGTATGTATCTTAAAGAGTAGAAAGCTTAAAATAATTTCTTAACATGCGCAAAAATAATGAAATAAATTGCTACTCAAATTTCCTGAAATACGAGCGATATTTGAATAATATTTTAAACTACAAGGTTTTTTGCTTTAGTTTCGGTTCTACGCATTTTTCTATTTCTTTTTCTTCTTTTATTATTATTATTATTATTGTTTTATGAATATCATCATTATTATTATAAACTATTCGCTAGCGATGAAGAACTAGTGAGGTTTCACAACCTTCAGTATTGGGGCAAGTTTGCTTTCATTTTCAAAATGTACCGTTTAAATGCATCTTTTGACCACTTGAAGTTAATATAGAGACGATAGGCTTTTTCAAACGTTAATATTTGTTCCGAAGAAATAATAAAATTATTTTCAAAAAATTTATTGTGTTTAGACCAAAGAATATTCACCGCAAACTTCGATGGCTGTTTTCTATCTTCTTGGAAGAATTCTCATTTAGTTGCTCTATGATGTTCATTTATACCACTCAACATTTTTTCTTATCATGAAACATGTCCTAAAAACGTATTTGTGTAATAAAATAGCTGTGTTTATTTGGTCCAAACGCTTTCAGACATTACAGTTGAGTAGCCTAACCGGGAAAGCTGCTAATTGCTTCGAGGACGAAACTTTTTAAATGAATTAAGTTGAATGTTGAGTTTAATGGCTCGAGAACCGATATTCGGTAGGCTGCAACGCAATAACAATACATACTCTAGGTGTTGAAAATTAATTGAGTCAATATTAAAACGTCAAAAAGGTATTGTAATTTCCTGGAGTCATGCAATCCATGTTCGCCTAAAGTAATCAAACTACCCACATCTAAATGAAAGAGAATTTTTTAATTGTTTAATTAATTTAAAGAAGAATTTGTACGAAGCATGCACCATGTTGACCAAGCATAACATATACGTTACGCGAATTACGAGAACTCTTCTTATTTTAAAAAGAACCGTTTTCGCATTAAATAAATGTTTTTTATTGTTTTCAAAAATCAAGCAGTAGCTAACAGAAGAAATTATTTATTCAGTTAAAAAAAAAACACTTTTTTAAGAGGAGTTTTTTTTTCGTCACCGACTTTAAAAATGCAGATGCTAATAGGAATGGCTTTATTTACATGAAATTAATTTTATAAGCATCCAAAGAGTTTTTCTCTTAAATTTTCGCTATTGCATTGATTTTGCATCTGGACTACATAATTTTTTTCTACTGAAAAAAAACAAGTACTACTTATTGTGAAATCAAAATGTAATCTTAAGATTTGGAGATTAATATGCCTGGGCTGAAGTTAGCACTGTGTCAAAGAAATTCAAACTGCAGACAAAAAATGAGAAGCCGTCGTTGAATAGGAGAGATAATATTATCAAAAATAAACATGCAAAAGTTTGCTTTGAGTTTTTTTTCTGAAGTGTTTGAAATAACTATTAACTTATACTCCGAATAATATATAATAATTTAGCAATAATATCAATTTTTGCTAAATATGTCTCTTGCTTAAAACATTTGATATATTCTTAACTAAAATGTCTTATTTTCAGATTTTCATTCTGGCATTTAGTGTGACAGTTCGGTCTCAGCTTTACCCATGGCAACGAAGGCAAATAGGTCCCCCGCCAAGAAGTGGATATTTTCAAAATGCAAACAGACCACCTGTAGGAAGATTTTCTGGAATATATGGGTCTTCTTCAGGTCGAGCCTTACCACCATTCAGGGGCCTCCAGAATAATCAACGTCAAATAATTTCATCCAGCAACAACAGAAGACCAATAGTGCATAATGTTTTAAGAACGCCCCCCACCCGAGCTGCTCCTTTGAGACAAATAAGACCAGCTATCATAACAAGAGTAAATACACCACCATTTGTTAGAAATAATCAGAATTTTCCCCCAAATCATGCAACACCTCACCCAATCTTACAGAATCGTAATGTCCTTCCTCATCCTAACAATAATTTTCATCCAGCAAATCCCATCAGAAGTGGTGATTCATTTAATAGAAGAATTCAAAATATTTCACCGAATATCAATCATCCAGTTTCTCCCAATAATCAGATTCGTACTATGCCAAGGCTGGCAACGAGCTCAAGACCAAGTCTCCAACCCCCTGCAGGTTATAAGATAACATATTGCAAAATGTTTAACTCCACACATCAGTTAGTAACTTTGACACCCCTGCAACAGCCATCTCCTCAAGTAATTCGCAGAGTACCTTATTCAGGTATTCGTAATAATTATTCACCAATTCAAAATAATATCATTCCCCGAAGACAACCTGCAAAATATGTCATGGTACGCACAGAAGATTATGTAGTTTGTTCTCATCCCTCACCTACACCTAGTACATTTCCTGTTCATGTTCAGTCTGGTCGAACTAGTGTAATAAGACCGAACTCTGTACTGGTTCCTAAACCAGCATTAACTACTGTTTCACCTTTGGTACATAAACAATTTATACCATCTGCCACACGTACGTCATCTCATAATGAACAGTTGCCAAGACAAGTTCCAAATCGTGCGTCCCTGAATACTCGCAATTCAATACAAACACGTAATCGTGTACCGTATAGAGGCCAAATAAACAGATCATTTAGCAATTTTCAAAATAATCGCAATATAAACACAAATTATATGGCCAATAGGCCATTCAGACCCAGAAATATGCCTCGTAATCCTGTGCCAAAATCTGCATTCAATTTTAAACCCCCTGTGCCATATTTAAGGAGAAATATACCTCATGCGCCCATTTCAAATTATTTCCCTTCCAACAAGGCTGGTGTAAAAAATTATCCTCTTAACAGAAAGAATCCAACAAATATATTTAATCTACCAAATGCATTTTCCGTTCTCAGTGATACTACAACGGAATTGAGTAACTTATTCAGTGATTTTCTTAAGACATTACAAAAACTCCAAGTGCCAACTTCAACTCCACCACAATTAAATCGCAACACAAATACACAGACTTCTCGAGCACAGAATATCAATCGTGGTATTAATTTAAGTAAGGGTTCTAATGTACGCACAAACCGTCCGAAGACTGTAACCAAAACTACAGCTCGTCCTAGATCAACCACTTCAACAAAAGCAAATACAACGAATAAACCTCGATCAACTACGACTACGTCCAGACCGCGTACACAGTCTCCTCCTCCAAGAAGACAACCACCACAGCGTAGACCACCTCTACGTCGTAGACCTCCACCATATCGCAGATATCCACCAGGTCGAAGACTTCCGCCAGGTCGCAGGCCTCCACCAGGTCGCAGGCCTCCACCAGGTCGCAGACTTCCGCCTGGTCGAAGACCTCCACCACGACCTGTACAAAATGAAAGAATTCGTCTTTATATTCCGCCATCTCTCAGGAAGGAAATTGATTCGAACAAAGATGAGCTTTTGAAGCTTGAAGAAGAAGCTCTTGAAGAAGAAGAAGAGATCGTAGAAATTGAAGAAGAAAAGGAGGAAGAAGAAGAAGAAGAGGAGGAGGAGGAGGAAGAAGAAGAACATAACAATTCGACTAAACCATCTCCAAGACGTAGAAGTGTCCGAAGTAAAAGCAAACCTCCAAATCTAGGCATTAAAATACCACGGCGCTTCAGAGCCACAAGATCTTTACCTTTTGAGTGAGAGATTTTGTTAACTTGTTAAATATTTTGATCACTATTTCCACGAAATTAATTAATAATGTCCTTTATTTGTAGTATTATGATTTTAATGTGTGTTTTACTCTGAATCAAAAGGAAGAGAACTTCTAAAGACGCAATTAGGCGCATTTCAGTTTTTTTTTTCCTTCTTCTTTGAAGGAAAAGTTTGCTTAGATAATCGCAATAGGCGAAAAAAATCAATCAAACATTTAAATTTCAAATTTTTTTCTCATGAATTTTCAAAGATTTAAATTTGGAGGACATATGCATGTAAGGATTTGAAAATTCAAGATATTTTTTAATTTCTTATGATCGAAATTCATAACGAGCTTAAGGGTGTTATTTTTCACTTGAGGATTTAAATAAAATGTTCAATTTATTTATAACTGAATTTATAAGATTGGTGCATTTTTTCAAATTTGAAATCTTTTTTAACTGAAGCATTTTAATAACTTTTAATGTTTCAATAAAATCTCATTTCATTACCTGAAATACAAGACTAATTTACTAAAATTTTCCAGTAAATATTATATCTTGCGCAAGAATATCGTTCTCATAGACTGACATAATATTTCCATTTTGTTCCATTATTTCTCGTTGTATCATTAATTATTTTTTCACCAGCAGAAAATAAAGTAAATAAATAGCTCACAAGTAAACTGGACATCCAAAAAAAAAAAAAAAATAATTGCATTTCACGGTAGGGGAAGAAGAAGAAGAAAAGGGAAGAAACTTACATGCTGCAATTCAGACATACACTGTGTCCATTAAAATAAAGCCAGATTAATTTTGTACCACGACTGGTCACAAAGAAAACCAATGAAACCTGCATGGAAATACATATTTAGGTGAAAATCACTACCTGCTCCACTTGGACAAGAAAGAAACGTCGAATAAGTAAAAAAGAAGGGGGGGAAAGTGTAACTCCTAAATAAAGCCACTTCTTTTAATAGCCACTATATAACTTTATTTCAACGGGACTCTATTTTTCTTCTCATTTTTTACTTACTTGATTTTTTTTTGCCCTGGTGAGGCAGGATGTCAGTTACTCCTTATAAATGAGCGTTTAACTTTCTTAATATATATATA